ACACACACACACACACACACACACACACACACACACTCCCGGTTCAATTGCACCCACCCAGGCAGCAGTCCACATAATCTTCACAGCAGTCACCGTATCTCTGACAGGCACTGTTACACTGACAGGAGCGGGCACGGTCTAGTGAAGCACCGCAGCGGCTGTCACAGAGCTCTGAAACCAACAAACATATACAATTCCCTAAAATATGTCATGGATGGAAACGAGAGTCCACTACAGTCTCAAAATAACAATATTTATTTATAATTCAAACCTGCGGCGCAGCAGAGCAAGTCTACAGGTCGTTGATTTTATGCGAGGTTTATTTTTTGCAAATGTACAATAACATAGTTGTATCGCTAAAATAATTGCCATTGCACATGAATTTAAGAGGTGTTTTTGTTGAGAGATACTTGCAGTATATTTTTAATTTTTGTAAAAATTGTTTTTAAAATCATTTCATCGGGAATACCATAGACATTAAATAAAAACGAAGACTTAAAAGCATTTACATTGGTTAGCACAATCGTATAAAAAAGTCAAACCGTTAATTAATAAACCTCACCTTCGTTAGCACTTGCGTTTATAATCAACGACAGTAATATGAGAGAAACAAGTCTTCTCAAAGGTCCCATGCTGGATCAGTTTCTGTGTGTCAATAACTACGCATCCCGTGAACCATATTAATTAATATAAGGCCATTCTTGGTAAATATGAGATTTGCGGGTCTTTTAGACTGGAATAATTCTATCTTATAATTTCTTAATCCTCAATGAAAAATGAATGGCGTTGAATATTTAAATTTTCTATTCATTTTATTAATTTATCTATTTATTATATAATTTATTATTCCGGGACGCATTTAAGTGCATGTTTTTCTAACCACTACCCAGATTGCATGCATACGTTGGGCCAACGTAGAGGAATGGTTGGTGTGTTGGCACGTAGTTGGTGTTGGCAGTAATACGTTGGCCCAACCACATCATTTTATGCGTAACATAACTGCAATAAACAACCCAATAGTTAATTAAAGTGTTTCTGTTCACAACTGAGAAGCACATGTGCTTATCTATCGATCAGTTACTTACAATTTTTAGGCTTAAAAGAAAAATATATAATTTTTTTTATTAAGAGTTTGTCAAAATGATTTTTAGTTTTCTGCTTTAATTTATCCTCAAAGCTATAAAAAAGGACTGAATGAACAGATTTATATTTTTAAATAATGCTGTGAAAACATTACATTTACTATTGTTGCTGTTATTCTTCTTCTTATTATTATTGAAATTAGACAAATGATTGAAATCTAATTATAATGTACAACTGCATAAAATATAAATTTTAAACCTCATAGTTAAGATTAATTTAAGCCGGACTTGTGTTTAAAATAAACTTGTAACTTTCAATAGACTAAATTCATTTCAAGCCAGATGTTTATCTTAACTGTCAGTTTGGTATAAACAGTTTGCATACAGCTTGCTCAATCAGGTCAAATAACTATACATAGCACAGTTTAATCGGGCAGTACACATTTCCGTTGAGCTGTTTCAAAAATCTAAGCCAGAAAGTCAAGAATGTTCTAAGGAAGAGGCAAGAAATCTGAAAACATTGATTTCTGGACTGAGAAAGAATAAAACTTATGGAAAATAAGAAAGAAAAAGTGAAGAGATAATGAGACAGGATAAAAAAGTAAGCATGTAAGTCTTTCAATTTTGTATTTCCCCATATAGTAGGCTTGTTAAGGGATACAAATGTCTAACTTGGCATCAATGTTCCTTGGACCAAAAGAATTTTTTTATCCGGAGAGACACGCTCCATCGATGCATAAATGAGCATAGATTATGAAAATTAGGTGCCAAAATAAACAATATTTCATATTTCGATCAATTTTCGATAAAAACGTGTATAGATTACCAAAACTGACTAAATTACGGACAAGGAACCCATGTTTGATGTTATGGAAGCAACTGGAGGCCATTTTGTGCCTCAAATCCAAGATGGCCGCCATCCGCCATTTTGAAAGTGGACATAATTTTGCTATTTTATGTTGAGTTTTGAAGCGTTTGACCTACATATAAATGATATATATCGATTCCTACTATTTTGAGTGTGCAAAAGTCATTTTGATCTGGTTTTGGTGATAGAAGGTGATTTGAAGGGACAAAGAGGGTGTTTTAAGTGACTACTCAAGATATATGTGTGTGAACGCTGCAAAACCATGGATATTGATAACCCGTATTCAAGTATAACTAAATGCAATTTTTCGTTATGTACCATCGATATTGGACTAAATTATGAGCAAAATACTCATTTTTACCATTATGGAGGCCATCGGTGGCCATTTTATCCCTAAAATCCAAGATGGCCGCCAGATAACATTCTGAAATTGGGCATAATTCGCTATTTTGAAACTATTATTACATCTTTGTTTTAACATGAGCAATACGCCGTTTATATTATTTTCTAGTGCAGATACATTTTGATATTATCTGTTTCGTAAAATATGAGTGCAAAGTATTTTAAGCCTCCAAAATCAATATACATGTAGGCTACAGTTGTCACAAAGACTTACATGCGTCAAGTAGTCTAATTAGTACAATATGTTTCATAACATCTGAAAGACCTTGAAACAAGTGTAAGAGACCAAAATGGCTTAATTAAGGATAAAAAAGACATACTTGGTGCTTTGGAGTCAACTGATAGCCATTCTGATTCTCAAATCCAAGAAGATGTACTAAAATTTACTCTTTTCGCAAGTCGAACACTAAATATACCAGTCTTTTGAAGGATGTGGTGTACGATTGAAAGTCTGAATGTCTAAATTTGACAAGTCAGCCAAGTGCATTGCCCTCTCTCTGATTTCACGTTCTACTCAATACTGATCATGAACAGTGTAGAGAGATGTAGTATCTTCTATCTAGTGCCATTGCTTCATGATTTAGAAAAGTAAAAAGTAAAACGATTTCCTGTAAGGTACTCCAAAACCTGCAAAATTCAAAGTTTGTGCCAAATTTGTTAATAACAGCAAATGTCTGCAGGAACCAAATTAAGGCCTACTTGTTTGTTTCATAAAATGTACGTGTGAAGATTGCAACCAGATACAAGTGAACACTGGAATTGCCATAACATTTATGGTGCTATAATTCAGTTAGATTTCAATATTTGTGATTGTTATTGACCACGAATCAGTTCACATATTATAAATATAACTTTTAACTATGTACTGAAATTTGAATGGTGTTTAAATTTTGGTGTTGTGTTGTTGTGTTTTAAGACAGATAAAAGTCTAAAATACAGATTGAAATCTTTCACAGTGAAGGCGATTGATAAAATTTCCAACCAATTTAGACACAAACAAATGAAATCAAAAGGACCAAAAATCGACAAATCTTCACGATTCTATTATATAGCGGGGTAGGAGGTGGCAATCTGGAGGCCTGATTTGTGTCCAACGTCATAGGTTTGGATGGATACAGACTTCCCCTGAAATGAAAAAAAAATTAAGATAACTGTATATAACACGTAGGCGCTAACAATACATGGAATGACTTGCCGTTAATTTTAAATTGCTGAGACCAACAATGGAAAAGAAATACTTATAGAAATAATTGGGGCATGATATGGAAACGTGTCACAGATTTTAAGGGTGAAAAATCGTGCTTAATTTGCACTCAATTTGTTTTGAAATATATGCTGCATCAACCACCAGCGCGACAAAGAGCGTCAAGGGGAAAGAATTCCCGATTCCCGGGAGGCTATTAATTTGAATGAAATTTTGCATGTATGCAATCTGTTATTCCCATATCTAAGTATTTTGGGGTGTTTTATGGTATGTGCTGCAATTAAAACGATGTTTTAGAGTCTTTGAAGGACCTTGTGAAAACCAGGAAGTAGTTCGCAACTGACAACTGAACAGTACCGATACACAACTGCTGTGCAAAGATGTATCTTTATAAAAATATTGTGACAATTTTTAGACGTTTATATGTCCATCTGACATGAAATTCCACACAATTCCGGCACAATTCTGATCAATTCTCGTCTCCTCCAGTACCCCTTATTAATACACTGGGATTCGGGAAAATCTGTCGTCCATAAGGACCACTTACGGCTAGTACGATAGGACAGCGGCTGTTATTCCTGGCCAGTGCGCACACAGTGTATACAGCCATGTCGTACTCAGGAGAGGTCCCTAGAAAGAAACTGGACTGGGACCTACTCTTCCCGAACCACTCCAGGCGGACTTTGAGAACTTGGGGCTGGAAAATACGGTGGAGAAGAGAAGTAGTAAATGTTAATTTAACCACACCCTAGGTTTTGTTATCTGTCTGTTTCAAACGAAAATCATCTCATCCATATGGTTTATTCTTGTGTGGTAACAGTCCGAAAAAACAATTAACCTTTATTGAATACAGTAAGCCCTCTTGTACAGTAGTTAACTACAAATGACGGTTGAGCAGAAATTGTCCAAATTGTGAAAACATTTGGTTTCCCAGAAAGAATAAACTGGCCTTCAACACCAGAATAAGGATCCGTACTGCTTAGTAACCTACCGATGTTTCCACTGACGAACGGAATCCTTTGTACGTTAAGCTTCCCACTTTCTCCAGCTGATAAAACCGGAACCAGTTGTGAAACCCGGTGACCGACGAGGGCTTTAGCTCCCCGACCATCACGTGCTCGAAGCCGCTACTGTCCACGGGGCCTGAGGATGACCGCGGGTACAGCTGGAACCACAGGTCATCGAGAAAACCACGGAACGCAGAATCGGAACTAGTGTATCCTTTGATATGAAAAAACTTGTTCTTAAAGGGATAATAACTCTTCGTTTCGGTCAAAAAATGAATTTTCCTGGAGCAAACAACAATTTTCCCATACTTACCAATGGTTAATGAATCCATTTTTACATTCAAAGTTAGTCCCTGGTTTTTTTCTAAAAAGTTTGGTTTTTTGTTAAAATCTCTTAAGAGATTTTAACAGAGTATAGCCATCAATGGAGGTCACGTGGTCTAAAGACAAGCTCAGATATCAGAATAATATCTATAACTGCCGTTTTTTGATAAAACAGAATACAATATATTTCTATGAGTTATTCACGTTTTCATTGTGAAATATAGATCTCATACGAAGAGTTATTATCCCTTTAAATAAAGAGGATTTTTTAGTCGAAAACTTCGGTTATCCAATAGAGGTCGTTATAGAGATATGTTCAAAATTTTTTTTTTTTTTATTTATTTATTTTTTTTTTACAATTACAATTTTAAAGAGACTGTTGTTCTGTGATTGTTTTGATGAAGAGTGGAGTTTGCATCGTATGCTTTTCAGGGTTTGTAGAATGATCGTATTCGTTGATATTTTGTCCCTAAATATCTGTATCTATTTACCTTTTTGCTTCAGGCATGTTTTCAGTGCCACCATAACGGGCGTGGTCAAAATATAATCCAGATACTGATCAATCTCGGAGAGCTCGTCACTGCTGAGGGTCTCTAGCTGACCAATATACGGGTTGTAGTTGTCAAGAAGAGAAAGGAACAGTGAGTAAGATGGGCTCTGCAGTAGCGACGCCTCGTTCACATAGTAGAACAACCTGTGTCAAAAAGAGATGGCAATGTTTTCGTAGCTCGTCCATTCTTGTTTGTTCTTGCGTCTCAAAAACAACAGGGAGAGGGAGAAAGAGGGGGGTTAGGGGGGGAGAGAGAACCTTACAAGTGTGTGTGTGTGTGTGTGTGTGTGTGTGTGCATGTGTCTTTGAAGTATAATGTGTGTGTGAAATTACCGTGCTCCGCCTTCGTCCACAATGACGTCACTTGAAGCAGCTTTGTTGGAGTCCACGACATACAGTCCCTCGGCAAGTTGTGACAGCTCGTCATCAGTGATTGGGACAGGGTCAGTTGGAGGACTGCAATTTCCATCTGAAGGGAAACAATTAGTAGACTATATTTCAAGCAAAGAGGTATATTATGGGCGCTAAATATACTTCATGATACGATTTTCGACAGTTTCACTCTTTTCCTAATATATATTTTACTTTGTTTACATATTCAGTCACAACATTGTATTCAATTGCAGTTTTAGATAAAAGCATGAATTTAAATGGTCCTGCAATTAACTGGAGAAGACGAAATAGCATTTCTTTTTACGCTCAGCAGACAAAATTACCACGTTATACGTCCATTATATTTTTAAAAATTAGTCGTCCTTTGTTTAACCAAATGCGTTCACCTCACCCATTGCACCCCATAGAAGATGTGCTACCCGAAAGTCCGGGCTCCCGTATGATTAGTACAGGTTAGGGTTAGCTGGAGTATTGGGCTTAGTTTATGGGAGGAATGTCACCCGTAAAAAGTAATGAGAAGCGGACTACGGTTCCTAGCGCACTTCCTTTCCTGTTACACTCAATATTGCACCCACACCACAGGCAGCACTCCACATAGTCTTCACAGCAATCGTCGTATCTGTGACAGGCACTGTCACACTGACAGGAGCGGGCACGGTCTAGTGAAGCACCGCAGCGGCCGGAACAGAGCTCTGAAACAAACAAACAAAAAAAAAACATACAAGAACTTACAAAATCCTAAAATATGTCATGGATGAAAACAGGAGAGTCCACCACATAGTCTCAAAATAACAATTTTTTAATTTTTACCTGCGGAGCAGCTGAGCAGGTCTATAGGTAGCTGCTTTCATCTTCTTCTAACATTTTGCAAACCGGAACCATTACGCCGCAGTTTTTTTCCTATTCTTACGCTTGTTTAATACGGGTTAATATATATTGCTCGCAAATGTACAATAACATAGTTGTATCGCTAAAAATGATAGCCATTGCACATGAATGAGTAGATTTTTAATTTTTTTAAAAAATTGTCTTTAAAATCATTTCACCGGGAATCCCAGTGGCGGATTTAGAGGGGGGGGGGTCAGGGGTTCCTGACCCCCCCCCCCCCCCGACCCCCCTTTGATTTCTGGTCCCCTCTTGTAATTAGAATTTTGACTGGCTGAATCATAGTTCTAAACCGTACCAATGGCACCGTTCAGCAGGTCCCGAACCCCACGCCAAGTTGCGGGGGGGGGGGGGGGGAGAAGAGGGTCGGTTTCGCATCCGCGCCCCCTCCAAATAATCCTGTATCCGCCCCTGCGCATGTTAAGCTGCATTTTCAGGGAAAAGGGAGAGTAGGGAGTACGTTGGGAGCTACGGGAGGAGGGTGACGTGCCCTCTGTGCCTCCTTTCCAGACCCTGCGTTTCTTCGCTGAATTGGGGGAAATTAAGCATTTAGTTTCTATGTGTACATGTATGTGATAACCTGGGCTACCGAATCAGCCATATCGACCAGCAAAAAGTGTCCTTTTCATAGGTGTAGACAGTTTATGTTGACGCTACAGTGCAAAGGAAAATGGGAATAAAGAATAATATATTTACTGATAACCTACAATTTAAATGTAGTAACCATTCCAATAACGTATCCAAACCCTTTGTTCATTCTAACGTTTCGTCCATTTTGACAGCTTAAAAGGATAAGCATGGTTTATACCTTTGTCATTTTTTAAATCTTCTGTTCGTATAAAAAGCCTACAGATGTTGCATTGATTTGGTGGATTTGGGTAGCTTTTGACTTAGTAACAGCCTGGTGTTCAAATGGAATCTCTGGTAAATATTCATGGACGAATATGGCTGCCGTTGCCCAAGTATCCAGCAAAATTAAAAACGTCTTGAAAAAATAGACCATATTGCATCAAACCTTCTTAATCAAATTTCATCAAAGGACATTAAGGCGCTATATATATTCTGTTTAAAAGGATAGCAACTCTTCCTATTTGAAAATACAAAACAAAAAAGGGTTTTCTGGGGTAAATGACGATTTTCCCATACTGACCAATCACTGAGAATAAAATTGGAGTTAATTGACTCTCTAGTCAGCACCCCTTGACCCTCATGGAGTTAATTTGACTTCTATATAAGGGTCAAATTACTCCACTACCAGAGTCTTTAGACTCTCTTATCAGAGTCAATCACCCCCTGGCTCTCATTGAGTCAATCTGACTCTAAAATCAGGGTCAAATTACCGGGGGCCAGTGTCTGGCTGACTCCTTTCACCGACTCTTTTCGCTCGCTGGACAGTAAGCATCGTTTCAGTACTTGTGATGGCAGTGAGCCGACGGCGTGGAGAGAACAGTTTTCATCATCCTTTGTCAGTATAACATTACTTTATTGGCCATAGTTATGCATGAACAAGTGGTTTTCTGTGTGTTTCTGCATGCAGAACGCGTGCACTTATTACTGGCCCGGGCTTTCAGTTGACCACACCCTTTATGTGAAATGTTGGTATACAGGTCAGCAAGTTTTGTTTCCAGGTTGTAGGTTTGACCCGCCAATGCATGTCACTGGGGAGGTATGCTCACTCATTGGTATATTTGTGATATGTGTGTGTGTGTGTGTGTGTGTGTGTGTGTCATGCTGTTTATTACCAGATTTACAAACTCTTTGTTATTGCTATATCAGCACCATACATCCTATGCGACCGGATGGCCTTGTAGTTAGAGTGTCCGTCTCCGGAGAGGGAGGATGTGGGTACAAACCCCTCCTTGAACATGCCAGTCTTAAATAATCGGTCTCCCCTCTTAACGCTGTTGTTGTTGTTTTTTCTCATAATGTGCCAAGGAGTCAAAAATTCCTTAATATGGGGTCATGGTGACTCTTTTGTAGAGATAAACCAAGGAATGAAGGGATGTGTGAATGGAGTCAATTGTAACTCTCCTGTGGAGTCTGGGATGGCGTCAACTTGACTATTATTGGGAGTTATTTTAGGCACCACTGCTGGACTCCAATTTGGAGTCACTTGGATTTTATTCTCAGTGATGGTTCATGAATCCTTGCTAACATTCAAAGTAAGTCCACGTATTTCCTAAAAAGTTTGGTTTTCGTAATAGTCCTTTAAGAGATCATTACGGAAGTATAGCCATCTATGAAGGTCCATAGTGTCCGATGGCAAGAACAGATGACAGATAATTGCAATAACTGAGGTTTTGGTGGCAAAATGGAATTGTTATATTTATATTAGTTGTTTACAATTTTTGTTGTGAAATACATATATGAACCTCATGCAGACTATTTTTATCCCTAAAACATGGATGTGACCCAAGGTTCTTTCAGCCCCAATCTATCATATCTACTGTTAATAGCATACCCGGATAGCGTTTAAGTTCCTAGTGAAAAATAAATATACTCCAGCCGTTTTGGATATTGATACTGCTACTTTAATATTATGTGGCGGTGCTTTCGCATAACCACCATAATGCGTAATGCACTCTTTTTAACTGCAATTGCCTACTGTATGAAAGTTAGACAGACGTTGATTTTTAAAGCATATGTACGAGCAGAATATACAAATAAAGACAACAAACAAACTCACCCAAAAAGGTATGTATTGTCCCACACTTGTCCCAAAATATGGTATCTATTTACCTATTATCGTTTCCTGTCAATATCACCTCAATCAAATTCATCTTGAGAGTTAAAGAGGTTAAAAATAAATTGATGACTGCATTGACCCATATTCACTCATTCTCAATATGCATTGATGCTAATAAGTTAAGCAACACTTTCTTATTTCTTAATTTTCTCGGCAACCAAACATTTTATTGTGGCAAACTTTGTACAGAGCAGGTGTTTGCAGATGGTCAGTTATGAGCCCGGAGAGGTCCAAACCAAATGCAAGTGTTTCAGGACGATTTTGTTCTCCCACGTGTGTAGGGTGCCGGAAGGTTTGTCTGGGTCGGTGTCTCACATGATGAAAAATTACCATTGTACGTTATTCATAGGAGGTTTCATCAGTGAATGATACAGAGAAGAAATCCTGTTGGGGCGCATACAATGAGGCAAATCCAGCCAGAAACACTTCTGTAGTGCAGGACAATGCGCCCGTCCATGAAGCAAGACGTGCTGCAACATCATGGTATCCCCAATATGGATTGTCCTGCATACACATTTTACGCCAGATCTCAGTGTATTAGAACATGCTTGGGATATTATTGGCAGAGCAGTAAATGAGAGACAACCTCCAGTAGGATATGAGAGCTCTAGCAGGCAGTAATTGAGGAATGGAAAAGACTCCCAATGCAAGATTTACAGAATTTGGTGGCAAGTTGCAATACACAATGTCAAGCCATCATTCAAAACCAGTCAAAACCAGGGAGGACGCGCTTGATATCCTGCATAATTAGACGATTACTCTTCTGTTATCCACATTCTTCTTTTATAATGCAAAATCAATTACAGGCAAGGAGACAGAGTAAGTTGGACGGTGAATCAAGAAAAATGTTTTATTTTATCAATTTTTAAATTTTTAAATATGGTGTGCTGTATGCTTGGCTGCAATTACTTTAGTGATGACAGACCACAGAGTTTTTTCAAACGAGCAATTATAATATGTGAAATAGGCACGTTATACAGTGGCGGATTTAGAGGGGGGGGGGGGGTCAGGGGGGTCCCCCCCTTTCTGCTTCTGAAAAGAAATCACACTAATTGTCCCCTCTTGGAATTACAATTTTGACTAGCTGATTTATAGTTCTAAACCGTACCAAATGGCTTCGTTTGCCCTCTAAAATACCAAGGGACCGTGTTGGCTTTGCATCTGCGGACCCCCCCCCCCCCTTCAAATATTCCTGGATCCGCCCCTGGAATCCCATTGACAATAAATAAAAACAAAGACTTAAAAGCATGATGAAATGTTCCTTGTTGAAAAAGTCTTTTGCATTGGTAAGCACAATCGTATAAAAAAGTCAATCCGTTAATTACCGTCTACAATTTTGAAAATCAGCTGGAACTCGTTGAAAATACAAGAAAAATATAAACCTCACCTTCGTTAGCACTTGCGTTTATAAGCAATGACAGTAATATGAGTGAAACATGTCTTCTCAAAGTTCCCATGTTCGATCAGTTTCTGTGTGTCAAAAACTACGCATCCCGTGAACGATATTGATTAATATAAGAGCATTCGTGGTAAATATGAGGTTTGCGTACCTTTTAGACCGGAATAATTCTTATAAATCTTATAATTTATTAATTCTCAATGAAAAATGAATGACGTTGAATATTTAAATTTTCTATTTATTTTATTAATTTATCTATTTATTATTTAACTTATTATTTCGGGACGCATTTAAGTGCAAGTTTTTCTAACCACCACCCAGATAGCATGCATGCGTTGGGCCAGCGTAGGGGAATGATTGGTTTATTGGCACATAGTTGGTGTTGGCAGTAATACGCTGGCCCAAAGTTGGCCCAACCACATCATTATATGCATAACGTAACGTGTTGGGCCAAAATATGCAATAAACAGCCCAATAATTAATTAAATTGTTTCTGTTTACAACTGAGAAGCACACGTGTTTATCTATTGATCAGTTACATACGATTATTAGGCTTAAAGAAATATATATATTTTTTTATATGAAGAGTTTTCAAAATGACTTTTAAATTCATTGAGTTTAAATAAGTTTTCTGCTTTAATTTATCCTCCAAGCTATAAACACTCATATATAGTACAAGTACTTCACCTATAAAAAAGAACTGAATGAACAGATTTATATTTTTAAATAAAGCTGTGAAAACATTATATTTATTATTTATTTATTATACATTATTATTATTATTATTATTGAAATTAGACAAATGATTGAATTCTTATTATAATGTACAACTGCATAATATATAAATTTTAAATTTTATAGATAGCATCAATTTAAGCCGGACTTGTGATTAAAATAAACTTGTAACTTTCAATAGACCAAATTCATTTCAAGGCAGATGTTTATCTTTACTGTCAGTTTGGTATTAACAGTTTGCTTACATCTTGCTCAATCAGGTCAAATAACTATACAAAGCACAGTTTAAGCGGGCATTACACATTTCCGTTTCAAAAATCTAAGCCAGAAGGTCAAGAATGTTCTAAAAGACCATTCCCACAAATATTTAGATCGATTTATCCCCCTGGGGAGTCTCACTAGATTGCTGTCGTCTTAAATGTCTGACCCGCCTACTAAAAGCTGTAAGATGGTAATTAACTTTTGTGCACGCTCGGCTCCAGGAAGCTAACGGCAATTTTGCGTGAACCCCCAGGGAGTTAGGTCGACCCAGATGGATCGATCTAAATCTGTGAGAACCCAGTCTAAGGGAGAGGCAAGAAATCTGAAAACATTGATTTTTGGATTGAAAAAGAATATATCTTTTGTAAAATAAGGAAGAAAAATAAAGAGATAAAGAGACATGTTGATTTTTGAAGCGTTTGACCTACATATACATGATATATATAGATTCCTACTATTTTGGGGGTCATTTTGATATTGTTTTGGTGATAGAAGGTGATTTGAAGGGACAAAGAGGGTGTTTTAAGTGACTTCTCAAGATATATGTGTGTGAACGCTGCAAAACCATGGATATTGATAACCCGTATTCAAATATAACTAAATGCAATTTTTTGTTATGTACCATCGATATTTGACTAAATTATGAGCAAAATACTCATTTTTACCATTATGGAGGCCATCGGTGGCCATTTCATCCCTCAAATCCAAGTTGGCCGTCAGATACCATTCTGAAATTGGGCATAATTCGCCATTTGGAAACTATATGTATTGCATCTTTGTAAATGAGCAATACTCCGTTTTATATTATTTTCTAGTGCAGAATACATTTTGATATTATCTGTTTCGTAAAATGTGAGTGCAAACTATTTTAAGCCTCCAATATCAATATACATGTAGGCTTAAGTTGTCACATAGACTTACATGCATCTAATTAGTACAATATGTTTCACATCTTAAAGACCTTGAAACAAGTGTAAGAGACCAAAATGGCTAAATTAAAGGCAAAGAACACATACTTGGTGCTTTGGAGTCATTTGGTAGCCGTTTGATCCTCAAATCCAAGAAGATGTACTAAAATTTACTCTTTTTGCAAGTCGAACACCAAATATACCAGTCTTTTCATTTCGATTGAAAGTCTCGCTGTCTAAATTTTACAAGTCAGCCAAGTGGATTGCCCTCTCTCTCTCATTTCACGTTTTACTGATCATGAACAGTGCTGAGAGATGTAGTATCTTCTATCTAGTGCCATTGCTTCATGATTTAGAAAAGTAAAAAGTAAAATGATTTCCTGTAAGGTACTCCAAAAACTGCAAAATTCAAAGTTTGTGCCAATTTTTTTAATAACAGCAAATGTCTGCAGGAACCAAATATACTTGGCCTTAGTCTCACTCTGTTTCATAAAATATACGTGTGAAGATTGCAACCAGATACAAGTGAACATTAGAATTGCCATAACATTTATGGTGCTATAATTCAGTTAGATTTCAACATGTGTGATTGTTATTGACCATGAATCAGTTTACATATTATAAATATAACTATTAACTATGAACTCAAATTTGAATGGTATTTAATATTTGGTGCCGTGTTGTGTTTTAACACAGATAAATGTCTAAAATACAGATTGAAAACTTTCACAGTGAAGGCGGTTGATAAAATTTCCAGCCAATTTACACACAAACAGTTGAAATCAAAAGGACCAAAAATAGACAAATCTTCACGATTC